GGCACAGCAGTTGTTGGATCCTGAGAGTGCTATAACTGTGGAATGGTTACAGAACCTATGCACCTCAGCACGCAGTGCGTCATGACAGAAGTACTCCGCCCACAAGAATCAAGATGACACCAGTATGTCACAGCAATGTTACACAAAATGCAGGCACCAGCATCGACATATACCATAGCACCAGCACCAGTCCAGTACATAGCGCAGACAATGCAACCATACTATCAGCAACATGGAGCCCCAACATCATCACCTGTGTTCACAGTGCAGGAAGAACAAGGATGGTGGGACCAAACTAATGCCTGGGGACAGCAGGAAGTTGGTTATGAGTGGGGTCCAGAAAACTACGGGGGACCACTACCTACTGCGGATCAGTAGTAGTCCCATGAGCATGTACTCCATCAGTACATATTAATGTATCTCGAATACCACTATGCACTAGGGTTTAAAAGTCCGGTTGCACAACTGGTCAAAGACCACAGACTGAACTGTACTGCAACTTTTTAAGACTGAATTTTTGGTCTCGGTTTCCCTTAATTTGACATCTTGCAGTTGCCAGTTGCTTTGTTTGACCTCTAACATCAGACCAATGAAAAGTTGACTGCAACCGGTCTATACTAGGACCGGTTGCATGAAACACAAATATTTACCTATGCAAATGAACATGACTTGGATAGTACAGACTACTACAAAACAGTCTCGACTTCGCCAGCTTCGTTCTCCCACTGCACCAGGCCCGTATCCCGTATAATTCCCATGCCTTCCCACCATTTTCCCGTGCGTTCCGCTACCATCCTGCTACCCATCCACATCTTTCCCGAGCTGTCTGCTACATGGAACCAAGCAGAACCCAGCAGAACCCAGTGGAACAATCGCGTACCACACACATCATATTCCTTTAGCCTTTGGAACATCCTCCTCTGTCCTGTCCATGTCCTTCCATCCTCGCTGGTGAGTACTAGCTATGTTCCCTGTGTTACTAACATGTTCCTATCTCATTTCCTATGTGTTACAGTACTTATACGGATCCTTCCGCTACTCGGGACCGATTCCTTATCTCACAGCCTCACCTGGTTGTAGCATAGCGCATTTCGGAACCCCTTCCTATATAGGTAGCAATAGATGGGATCTTAGTTTTTTACCTTCTGATAGACTCGACTCCACTTCCACTTACAGAGTACTTCCCAGTACTCCACTCACTGTCTAAAATATCTTCCTGAATCTATTCCTGATCACATTGCATCATTCCCGCCCCCGTGAGTTCTGCTCGAAATGCCCGACATCAGATCCGACGACTTGGAGCAAGTACCAGACACAAGCCTTGTCCAACTTTGCCCAATCATCCTCCTGCAGGCTCATAGTTTCTTTTCCCTCCGTTTGTTCCCCATTAGTTCTGTTTGTTCCCCATTTGTTCTGTTTGTTCCACGTTAGTGTCATATACCGGATCCGAGCACCTCCAATACCACCCATGAACATCCCCACCCCTGGTCCGACCCCCTGTTTCCCCGTCCACTTCATTCCTCCTTCCCCGACAATGCATGAAGTGCATCTCAGTAGGATTAGCCCTGCTACCCCTGCCCGACTCTGTTCCACTTTTCCGACATTTACCCCTATGTCCTCCGACCCCATACCCCTTCCATCCGACCCTATCTGGGGTTCCGCTCCTCCACCCTATCGGTCCACCTGACCCTACTCCTACTCCCTCCGCTTTTCCGACCCGTTTGGTTCCTTTGGTTCCACTTGTGTTGTCCCACCTGACTATTAATCCGTCTGACCGCCTCACCGGTCCACCCCTAGACTAGGAACCACTCAACTGGTCCTATCCCCGTTTAGTATCATAGTTCCGCTTTTCGGGTACCCGGTAATCCCTATACCCTAGCGATTATTGATCCGTTGCGTACATACTTTTCTCCGAGCCTTATTCTCGTATGTCTCAGTCATCTTCTTATCCTGTACACTCAGCACATAGCCCCCTGCTATGCTATGCTAATTACTTAGAGTATATAAACATATGTACATCTGTCTGTAGATACTCAGTCTGAATATTACCTTTTCTAAGCCCTGCTCTTCTGTCCTTTGACTTAAAAGTCTTTCCCAAGTCAAAACTCCTGTTCCCCGGCCTAGGGGATTGACTCCCTAGGTTGGCTGTCCTCTGATCCTCCGACCCTCCGCTTCCCCGCTTCCCCGTTCCTCCGTCCCACTGGTTCTGCTGGTTCTGCTGGTTCTACTATTCCGCGGGTTCTGCTATTCCGCGAGTTCCACTATTCTGTGGGTTCTGCTATCCTGCGGGTTCCACTGTTCCACTATTCTGTGGGTTCTGCTATCCTGCGGGTTCCACTGTTCCACTATTCTGTGGGTTCTGCTATCCTGCGGGTTCCACTGTTCCACTGTTCCACTATTCTGTGGGTTCTGCTATCCTGCGGGTTCCACTGTTCCACTGTTCCACTGTTCCACTGTTCCACTGTTCCACTGTTCCACTGTTCCACTGTTCCACTGTTCCACTGTTCCACTGTTCCACTGTTCCTCTGTCCCCCCATTCCTCCGCTCATCCGACTCCCCATGCATCGGCCGCACTTTCCTGCACATCGGATCTGATCCCTGCACTCCCTCATATCCGCCCCCTCCGTTCCGCTCTGCCTCGGACTTCATCCGAGCAGTTCCTCCCGCTCCATTCCTACTGTGGGTTCCAACCCCAGTAGTCCCCGCCTTTCTCCTGTCGGGCGGAACCCCCACCCGACTTTCCCATGCTCACCTAGTAGTCCGACGGTCCTCCTTCAGAGGATCCCCATTCTGACGTCCTGTTAGAACCCATAGAACTCGCATCGGACTACATCCCAAAATTAGGGGCACGTACTCGGGTAAGGGGCGCAGTGTACGAGCTGAAGCCAAGCCCCCCAGACTCCACTTTACCCCGAGCATGGTCTTAACAGTTAGTTCCGTTAGTTCCGCTCGTTGCGCATTAGTTCTGCTCGTTGCGCGCTGAGTTCCGCTCGTCGGGAACCCTCCACATCTTTGTGTTCCCAGTCCTAGTAAGGACTGGAACCCTTCGGGTCGCTAGACAGAGTCTAGTCTTTGTTTCCTCGCACTTATTTGAGGACTCGCTACCCAGTAGCAATCCCCTCGGGACGAGTATAAGTCTCACACCCTTGTTAGACTTCTGAATCACCCAGAGTCTATTTTCCTCACCCACACTGGTTTGGGTCCAGTCTTTTGAAAATTGGTCAAAAGACCGGACTTAACCAGACTTTTAAACCCTACTATGCATGTCACCTACTGTACATAACTCAACTATACCTAACATGCCCCCCCGATCCCCTCATCATATTATAGAATGCACTAGTGAGATTAGTGCTACAGCTCCCTTAACCGCTTCCATGATGGATGAAGCAAATCCCCCTACCCCCTCGTCAAATACTTCCTTGGTTGTACCTTCTCTTTTGCAAGATAGTTCTATCACTGATGTTTATATGGTGGACTCATCAGGAAACCCAATATGAGCAAGAACAAGCAACCCATTGTGGGGAATGCTCCCACTGTAGGCGTAAAACCCTGTCCTTTCCACATCGTCTCACATCAGTTCCACATGTTCTGCGTGTTCCGCGTTTCCCATGCATCATCCAATGTGTTCTGCATTCCCGCACATCCTTCAGAACACGCCTGCACTATCCAATATTCCCGTGCATTGTTGGACATACTTCGCATGTCCTGTCCCCATCCTTTCAGGTCCATTGGTACACTGTATCTCTCTTCCCATTGCTTCTAATGTTATCTGGATCACATTGACACATGCCCTTATGGCATGGACCCCTATTGTGGAGTATTGCACCCATGTGCACTGCCTGCCTTCACTTCCGCTTCCTGAGAATTTACTACCTGTACCTCAGTGTTCCTTGAAAATAATCTTCCCTATAAGTAGTGGTACTCAGGGCTTGGGTGTTTTTATCGAATCTCATCTCTTACCTTCCGACTTTTCTCTGACTTTTCCTTCACCTTACTAGAGGACTGCTTTGACTTATGCTCACTATCAATCTAACCTTGTGATATACTTCCTTCAACTTGATCTGCAAGTTCTGACAAATCTGTATGTTCCGCATTTTATCCGTTTGAGTTCTGCTTCATTCTGTTTCATTCCGCTTCATTCCACTTGAGTTCCACTTGAGTTCCGCTTGTTCCGCTTGTTCCGCATTTTTGTGGATCCTCATCCTACCTGCGGTAGGGTTGTTTAGGGTTGTTTAGATAGAGACTAGCACTCCCCAGTAGCAATCCCCTTTAGGGTTGAACATGCTTGTTCTCAAGTGAGGCAGCAGGCAGCAAAGACCCAACTTTGTAGTAGATCAATTTCACACTGCTGCACTTGTTGTACCCACACCGTTCCTAACAATCTCATTCCTACATGGACCACATGAGGAGAAAGTCTGATTTCTAGCCATAGTCGACAATGGCACAATGATCAACACCATTAATGCAGCAGCATTCCAGCGAATAGCACAGTGACTCTCGCTACTAAGTCCCTCGCTAGTGAACCTTATGAATGGCTGATGGCTCACTAGTACCTTCAACAGGTATTTGGATGGGACGCATCACATGGGGGCCCATACACCTAGAAACATTGTTCAAGGTTTTTCCCAGCAGAGGATGATGCCACATGCTAATAGGCAAACCGTTACTCAAACAATCTCGCACCATACAGGATTATAGCAACTGACTCAATTCTTTTCACATTGCACGGACCACAACACTGCATTCATGATCTCGCACTGCTTCAACCACTCCTTCTACCATGTCTTCCAATGGCAATAAGTTTCCCATCTGCATCTATGTTTCCCCCTCCCTTCTCTGTGCCTAAAGACCCTACTAACTTAGTAAATACAGAAGAGCAAGAAGCACCCCAGCACCAAGAGACTATAATGCAAGTAGACAACATGGAGAACAATGGACCCCTTGGTGAAGTACCAGACTTCACACATCCTAACCTGTCAAATGGTATGTTCACTAGATTAATGTCACTCAGACCATTTTACCCCCCATGGGTAGAAATGATCATGAATACTGTTCATTATGGACCACAACTTATGGATGATCAGCGCACCATAGCACATAGTCTGGTCACAGAATTCACGGATATATTCACACTATCAACCAGAGAGGTGAAGCAGGTAGATTTTGTCAAGTTCCAGTTGTCAATACCACCAGATGCGGTCTTCTCCAAGAAGATACACCAGCATCCCCTAATGCAACCACAATGAGAATACCTGTTTCCAGTCCTTGATGAGATGAGGAAAGTGGGAATCACACAGTTCATACCAGCAGACAAAGTAAAAGCAATGGTGTCTACAGTGCTCATACAGAAAACCCACTCGGGCACTAACCTATCATTAGAGAACATCCGCCGCATCATAAATGAGCAATGTATAGAACTAGGTGAGCCGCCAGATCCGAATGTAGAACCAAGTTCAACACCAGACAAGATACTAGAGCCAGTCAACAACACCAAAGTGAAATGGTGGATCTGCCAAAACTTTAATGAAGTCAACAAAGTATCAGACATGTGGCACCTACACCACAAGGAGATACAGTGGCTCAAAAAACTGTCCACATGTTTTCACATTTTTCACTATCTATGATATTGTGTGAGAATATACAAACACCTCAAGGACATGCTGGTACCATATTGTAGTATGACTTCAGGGCCTTCAATTGAGCACTGATGGCGTGGGAATCAGTGGAGATATGGTGGAGATATGAGGCTTACAAAATGATGACTCATGCGGACAGTTTTTTGACTCAAGTATTTTACAGTGATAATCAGGTATTCTAGTACTTTGTGTGACCTCCCCTGGCTTTGATTACTACCTCTATCCTTCTGGGCATACTCTTGAAACTATATCTAACTGTATAAACCAGAATGTCTCATGCATCATAGTCATAATCATCATGAAAGCCATCTCCTCTGCTCAAAGGGATGATATCTCTCTCTATCCTATGCTGGCCTCTCTGCTCATCAAATTCCCTCTAGAACTGGAGTATGCAAGTCTACTGTGGCCAAGTTTATCACAGAAAGCCACATGGACAAGGAAAACCCTTGTGGTGGACATCCACCTCTACTAATAAGAGGGCTATCATCCAACATATCACTACAGGAAAGGCTTATAATGCTGTCCAAGCCACCCATTATATCAATTCCACAATCACCACTACTGTCGCTTCACAAACTATGAGGAATTTTCTCAATGTGGCTCATCTCAAGGCAGTAACAAAGAATAAACTGCCTCTTCTCTCTATCAAACATGGGCAGAGAAGACTAGCCTTTGGCTTGACCCATCAAAACTTGACTGTAGAGAACTGGAAGCATGTTATATGGTCAGATGAGATCAAAGAACTCCTGCTCCTCTGAGGTTAGTAGCAACTGTGTGGGGTGGTGTCTTATTCTAATTTTTTCTAGAGCAAGTATAAGAATTTTGTCTCTCAAGTTCTCAAGGATGGATGCCAAGATTTTTACTACAGCAATGGCAAAAAAGTGTTGAAGTTGATTGACAAGTTCCAATGCTCAATTCCCATCAATGGTCTTATTCTCATGGTCATGGTTGGATGCTTATTTTTAACTCATTTTTATTTTCAGTCACTGATCAGTCTCAACAGATGAAGGGTGTTATAACTGGGTTCCATGATACTGGTACAGACAAGGTCCCTGACCTGTCCACCAACAAATGCAGGTCCAATTTCAATGCCATACAAAAATCTGTTGATAAATTGATGGAGAACTGTCATATCCCATATTTCTGGACCTGGAACTCTGGATCCTCACTTGTTAAATCTGGAGTTCCATCCTCAATTCCATCTGGCACTCCAGTTTCATCTCCAGATTTACACCTATCTCCTTTTAGATCATTGCTCTCCGGCTACCAGGTCATAACCTTTTCCACCTTGCTTACTGATCCGTCTCTCTGTATTCATTTCTGACTCCATTTCTTTGATCTGTTACATACTTACTAATAGACTTTCTGCATGCCTCATACATAGCTTTTCACTGTGCTGACTGATTATTTACTTGACACCTACAGTATATAAACTCCTGTAAAACTCTGTACCTCCTCAGTTCAAATATCATCTTAGTTCCTGCTCATTCCTGTCTCTCCAGACTTGAGTTTATCTCCTGTCCATCTCTGAGTCTTTGGATTCAATCCTTAGACTATATCTCTGGATCTACCTTAGAGTAGTCTACCTTTATTCCATTTCTACTCCAGACTTGTCCATAGTAGTCCTACTCTAGTTACTCCTGACCCTCCAGAGTTCCACTGAACTCCCCCTGTGTCTGACCTCTGGACTTACCTGGACTTCTGTCAGACTTCTTTCCTACCTCTGGAAATTAAGGGCATGTACTTGGGTAAGGGGCGCAGCAGCACGGCTGAAGCCAAGCCCTTTGAGTTCTTCTCCCCTTAAGCATGACCTTAATAAGAACCCTGAGCATTGTCAAGAGCTTGACAAGATGCTAGAGGAATGAGCTCAGTATGGGATGATGGATGAGCTTCAGGATGATTCAGATGGCACCTCTGGCAGCAAAGATGTCAACATCATTATGTAGTAGTTTCAAACTGCAGTATTATCTCATGATCTATACTAGAATGTCTACATTGTCTAAGCTGTCTAGCATGTCCATAAAGGATTAATACAATTGTGCGAGTCTATGTCAAGACCATGCTCAGGGGTAAAGTGGAGCCTAAGGGGCTTGGCTTGGCTTCAGCTCGTGCGCTGTGCCCCTTACCCAAGTACGTGCCCCTAATTTCGGAATGTAGTCCAACATGAGTTCTATGAGTTCCGACAGGACGTCGGAACAGGGGTCCTCTGAAGGAGGACCGACAGACTACTAGGTGAGCGTGGGAAAGTCGGGCAGGGGTTGTTCCGCCCAACAGGAGGGAGGCAGGGGACTACTGTGGTCAGAACCAACAGTAGAAGCGGAGTGGAAGGGACTGCTTGGACAAAGTCCGAAGCAGAGCGGAATGGAGGGGATGGATGCGAGAGTGCGGGGTTTAGTTCCAACACACGGGAAGTCGGACGAGCAGAGGAATGGGGGAACAGGGGAATGGGGGAATGGGGGAATGGGGGAATGGAGGAGCAGAGGATCAGAGGGTGGCTGGCCTAGGGAGTCAATCCCCTAGGCCAGCTAACAGGAGTTGACTAGGATCAGGCCCAAGTCCAAGAACAGAAGAGCAGGGCTTAGAAAAGGTAATATTCAGACTGAGTATCTACAGACAAATGTACATATGTTTATATACTCTAAGTGATGAGCATAGCATAGAAGAAAGCTATGTGCTGAGTGTACAGGATTACAATAGGATGACTGAGACATATGAGAATAAGGCTCGGGGAACAGTATGTACGTGACAGATCAGACTCGCTAGGGTATAGGGATTACCAGTGATCCGAAAAGCGGAACTATGATACTAAATGGGGATAGGACCAGTTGAGTGGTTCCTAGTCTAGGAGTGGACCGGTGAGGCAGTTGGGTGGACTAATCATCAGGTGGGGCAACACAAGCGGAACTGAAGGAACCGAGCGGGTCGGAACAGCAAAGGGAGTAGGAATAGGATTGGGCAGACCTGATAGGGTGGAGGGGCAGAACCCCAGATAGGGCTCAGATGGAAGGGGTATAGTGTTGGAGGACATAAGGGTAGTTTGGAGGAGCGGAATGGGGTCGGACAGAGGTAGCAGGGCTAGTTCTGCTGAGATGCAAGGAGGGATGGAGCAGACAGGAAAACAGGGGGTCGGTCCAGGGGTGGGGATGTTCACAGGTGGTATTGGAGGTACCTGGATCCAGTATATGACAGTCTATAACAAATAGACACTCTCAGATCATGCACACAAAGGCAAACATCTGAGGTAATTGTTAGATACCTGTGCCGACTCAGGAAGCAGAGGGGTCGGGGCTTGGCTTCAGCTCTTGCAGCTGTGCCCTTAGCTGAGTACTGTGCCCCGAATTTGGAGCAGGTCCGAATGTTGTCCGATGGTAGGACAAGTGGACCGCTTTAGTCCACTTTGAGGGTCAGTGAGTAAGAGCTACTAGCGGTGGGCCGACTAGGAGTGGAGCAGAGAAGGCGGGGAGTGATGTGGAGAGTGGATAGGGGCAGGGGGACTGTTGGTAGGGGTGGGGAAGGCGGAGGATAATGCGGAGGGGCGAAGGAGGATATTTGATAGGGGCGGAGTAATAAGGGGAAGACTTAGAGCACGGCTCTAAGTTGGAGTGGAGGGTCGGAGGGTCGGAGGTGACAGTAAGTTGAGACTTGTGTCCAGAGGAGGCAAGGCTCTACCGAGAATTCTCACAAGGTATAACTGCGAGAAGACAAGCAATATTAAGACTGAGGAAAAATATCTAAGTACATGATATGTTATATACTACTATGTATGAGGCAGTGAACAGGATAACTATGTTGTAAAGCTATGTACCAAGGATATAGTTTGTAAGTACTTTACACAGGCGAAGACATAAGTCGGAGCAGATATCAATATGTATGCATCGGATCAGCGATCGGGCGGTAATAGGAATTACCAGTGATCCGGAAGTAAGGGTCTATGTACCGAAGGGGAAAGTATATATCTAAAAGGGGAAAGAGATCCAGTTGAATGGAGAGGTTATGGAAGGGGACCAGTTGAGCGGTCGAGCAGAAGTGTAGGGTGGAATGCGGACTTGTGATTGGACAGAGCAGAGGATGGATGGAGCGGAGCGGGTCGGAAAGCGGAGTGGATATCAATATCGGAGCGGTTGGATCAGGTATATGACAGTAATGGCTTCTGTCTGCAGTAGCTAAATAGATTGAATGATCTTGTTTGAACAAGTAAGTATGTGAAACTGTAACAATAAGAAAGCAGCACTGACCAAAGCAATCAAAAGATTCAGTAAGTACAATCAGTGAAACATATCATAAGAGCGCACAATCAGAGAAACATATGTGTCACTAGACAATAATGAGACAGATAACAAGATCATACAATGATGCACTCAGCTGCAGGCGCACTTGTTATTCCAACAGTCCAAGCTGTCCAGCATGTCCAGCATGTCCTGCATGTCCAACATGTCAACATTGTGGCTATTTGTATGGATTGTATGTGGTGATCACAGACAAGCAAGAGCACTGAGTGAGCTGTTAAGACAAATATATTATCTCAGTCTTCGATAAGAACTTGGCATAATATGGCTAGACTACTTGTTAAGACAAATATATTGTACTGGGTATGTTAGCTCATTATAATA